TCAAATCTTCATATATCTGGTTGCCGAGCAACTCGCGGTGCTGTGCACACGCCTTAGCCCATTCGGCCACCCCGCCCCCTATATATATGTATAAACCTGTACCATTACAACTAGTGTTCCTCAAGATAGGTCTTGGTCTTGCACTTTGCAAGACCAAGACCATGACCACCCATCTTGCAAGACCAAGACCAAGACCGCCTATCTGTTGCAAGACCAAGACCAAGACTGGTAAAAAAAATTGGTTTTTGGAATAAAAATTGCGGCAAAATAGTTACTAACACTTGAAAATTTTAGTTACTATATGTAAAGAATTGGTGTAACCAATAAACTTTTGCATTTGACTCTTTAACTCTTCTAATTTTTCATTCAGACTTAGTTAGGTTTCTCATATCCAAAAAATGACAGTAATATCTCTCTAGTTATAAGCTAATAGACGACTGTATGACTGTTACGAGAGTCTTGCGCAAAACCAAGACCTAGACCAAGATTGAGTTTGCAAGACCAAGACTCGTCACGGTCTCGCATTTGGACAACACTAAGGAAAACTCATGAAGGATCTTGAGTTCAGTACTATTTAGGGAAAGCACTGTTTCTTGGTCTACAGTTGTGCAAGGAGGTGATTTGCCCGAGATCACACTCAACCGTCAGGTTACATTAACTATTACACATAAAAGTATAATATAATATACATATCTATTCACAAGCTTTGTTTGTCCTTGCATTGCCAGAGGGCATACGGTTGGCTAAATCATAATTACGAAAACGATCTTCATTGAATTGAATATAATCCAGAACCATTGGAGAAGAAAAATTGAGGATGAAGAAGTTGATTTAGCCTGACAATTATTGATTTGCATTTTTTTAAGTAATAATATACATGATTATGTAAAATTGACTATGCGATAACTTTTTTATAAACATTTATTTGTAAGATACTTAAAAAATACTTTAAAATTCAGCATGCCATATCAAAAATTTTATAATTATACTGCTTATAATTTTATCATCTTGAACATTTTTTGAGCGATGTCTTCTTATTCAATAAAAAATGTGACCTCACTAAAATGGCCTTAACTGCCTTTCAATTGATCAAGTGAACTTTTTTTGTCGAAAATTATGTCTAAAATCTCCCGCCAGAGTTTGGTCATTGAGAAATGAGATAAACAGGGTTAGTGTGAATTTAGTGATACCTCACTATAACAGTTGTCTATTTGATAGAATGTTATGTTACTAAATAAATAATTTAAAAATTTAAAATGATTACAAGTAATCTTTAGCCTATCTCTTAAGATTTTTATTAATTTAATGCCTTAAAAAAGTCAGTTACCAAAATTTTGAAACATACATTAACTGCACAATTTAAAAGAAATGAGGATAAAATAACCAATAATTTCTAAAAGTGCTATAAATATATAAACCAACTAATTATAGTAGAGCATCAACCCATATAACAATTAATGTATAGACTACTCGGATTGTGTTTATGCAGTTCACTTATGTTTCAAAATTTTGGACAATTGCATTTTTCGGTTAAAAGTGAACGTTTAACCTTAACACAAAAATAATAAATTAATAAAAACAACATTAATTAGGAATTAATTTCGAATTAAGTACCTGTAACCAATTGTTACAAATGGGATGACGATCATCATTTATAATTTTATAGCTATAACTTGCATTTAGCACTTATTCGTAGTTTTCTAGGTAAAAATATTTATTCTTAAAAATCTAAACAAGCATATAATTCATAGAATCGTTTAGTTATTATTTAGCTTTGATTTTATTAAATTTATTTATATTTTCTGTCAATAAGTTATGAATGAACCTTTTTGACACCATGGGTATTTCTCTTACCATGACAGAATGTTTTACTAATGAATAAAATAATTTCAATTAAAAAAAATGGAAGCTAAAGATTTTACTAATACTAAATAATTTTATTTATTTCTATTGTAGAAAAGCGCTGGTTTACAATGGCGTTTATTAAATTGAATTGTTTGTCTAGTTGACAGACTGTTCCCGAAGAAAAAAAAATACTAATAATAATTCGTCAAGCACAGTTTTCTTCGACTCCGTATCTTTACTTAACGGGACTAAAACTGATAACAAAAAGGTATTTACATTTTATCTCTACTAAAAAGCGTTTTACTCGAAGTGCGCTAGAAGGAAATTGTCACGAAAAGAAAATTGTGATAATTTGCAAAAGACAAAAATAAATTTTAAAAAGCCATAAAGAATAAACCCTTCGTCCTTGTGAGATCTGAACAACGCAAGAACATTTAGCAGAAGTTGAGGTGTTTTCATTCCAGAATACCATTTTTTATTTTAATATTAAAAACATTGCTATTAACAATTTTGCGATGAAATTTCACATTGGTTATTACCGAATTTTAATAAATTAATGTAAGTATATATAGAGTATATATACTTACATATAAATAGATAAATAAACATTATTCTGGGACAAAGTCTCTTAAGAATTATGACATATATAAATATAATAAGTGTACACATATTTTAGCGATTGACGTTAGAAACATTGTAATTAACATTTGGGTACCGAAATTTCACACTGGTTATTAGTAAAATGTAATAAATAGGTGTAGGTATACAACGGTACATAGGTACATATTATAGCTATGTGTTATGAATAAAATTCAACGTTATCAGGAATTGTTATCAATAAAATCTTTAAAACGGATTTCTCGATATAAATGTTTGTGACGTATTAATAAATTGCCTTCGTACAATAGATATAACTCGGCTTGAAAAAAAAACAAAAACAAATAATAGCGTTGAGTATATTACAGGCAGAGAGATCGAAGCTTGATTAAAAACAAATCACTATTCCATAAATATTTTTTATCCTGATAATAAAGGAACTACATGTTTATGTAACAGAATTGGAATACAAATTATAGGTAATGTGAATCTACCATTTTCGTAAATAATTAATTGAAATCGGTCCTTTTTAATTAAGCTGAAGCGTGAGATATTTCATTAGATTTTGATGATTAACTATTTTTTTTTTATTTGTATTTGCCTCTATTCTAGAGGGTCATTGGCAGTGATTCCTTATTAACTATTATTATATTAACTATTACATATCCGTAAAATAGCATTCTAATAACATCAATGATACTGAATGGTTAAACATTATACGTTAAATATAGCTATTTACCCATATCGAGACAGTGATATTAAAACTGTTAAGACTTGTGAATTGAAGTGTTTCTCAAATTTCATAGTTGATGATTTTTTTTTGGTGAGGGAGAAGGGGTATAAAAGAGACTTAATTAAAGCATGAACAAATGTTTAAGTTTGAAAACTCCTGTGTTAATTTCTGTCTCAAAAAGAAATAAAAAGTCATGAATACTTTTTAAATTTCACGTAAACCTCAAAATAAAAAAAATCTTCATGAATACTAAACAGTATGGTAACAGATTTTTTTTGGATTCAAGAAAAACTTTAACAAAATAAGTTTACAAGCTGTTCATGTTTTTATTAAAATTAATTATTTTTCGAATCATATATTTTTACAGGTAATATGAAGATTATAAAATCGATATTTTTACAAAATCGACGTCGTTTTTGAAAGTTTAAAAATTGAAATCATGAGCGTAAGTCATAAGTCCTTTTGTTTTGTCTTTATAATGTTGGATATAAGTTTACCGACTGTTCAGGATTTTTTGAAAAATAACTACTTTAACGAAGCATTATTATATAAATGTAACAACAGATGTATTGAAGAAAGTATGAACGATGTTTTTAAAAACTTAATAATTATTTTAGAAGTTTAAAAAAGTAAATTCTTAGCGTAAATTGTAAGTTCTTTTGTTTTGTCTGTTGATGATATTTGATATATGTTTACCGGCTATTCAACTATAAAAAACAATAAATTATTTGTACGAAGCATTACTATATAAAAGCAATTATAGTTGTTTTAAAGATAATAAAGTCGATGTTTTTGAAAACTCAACGTTGATTTTTGAAGTTTAAAAGAATTAACTATTAACGTAACTCATAAGTTCCTTTGTTTTGTTTGATGATGATATAGGATATAATTATAACATGTATTCACCAATAGCAGAACATATAATTCTATACTTGACTATTCTTGCCAGGACGATATAAGTCAGTCCCTCCAGAAATGACGTAGAGGAAATTCTTAAATAGCAGGACAATTTAATTTTTCACTGAATAAATTAATACGACATTAATAATGCATATCTAATGTAGGACTCAATAAGGTAATATTCAATTGTTTTTAATGAATAAAGTTTCGTACATGAAAGGTTTTTATAAGAAAAAGTATACAAATCTATGTGTATTTAAAATGTTATGACATAGATCGTTAGATAAGTTAATTATGTGAAATAAAAACATTTTTTGTAAATGTTAAATGTTAACTAATAACGACATTACAATTTTCCAGACTTGAAAATGGCCATAGTTATGGTCGAACCGCCGTAATAAAATAGCTAATAAATAAAATGTTGGTGAATAATGGCCTAATTTATATAACAATTGAACCTCAAGACACCAATTTTAGGAATAATGAACAGAAGATATAATTCTTTGCTGTTTTTTTTTTTGTTTTTTTTTTGTATTTGTTTTCGTTATGTTGGGAAAAAATGAGTGTCTGTGCAGCTGGATAATATGGTTTCGATTGACTCTCTGTAAGGTGTCATATGTGTGCCTTATCTTTAAATAGCACTCAAATCAAAAAGCATTAAACTAATTTAGCTGCAACTACTAACAATTTACAAAAAAAGTATGATACTCAAAAGCAAAAAAATGCTAATCACTTTGAAAAAAAAAATGTCTTCAAGCTTATTCTACAGAAGGCTGTAATCGTAAGCTGCCGCCCACTACAGCTCTAACCTCATGCAGTTTTGCCAAAGCGTTTCCTTCTTTTCTCTCTTTTACAAAACATTCATACCATATTCTTCCCTTTCCGGACTGAGCCATTCAAAGGGCAGGTGTACTATGATTGATGAATGACATCCCATAGTACCGCCCAGGGGCCAGTGGGTATTGGAAGGGAAGAGTATTTCCCCCGTCGGATGCTCGATACTAGACAGTGTTCAGACCTGACTCTACTGTCCGGAGGCGGCATCCTCTCGGCACACACTGAGCGCCCTGTAGGCCAAAGGGACCCGGCCGAGGATTCGGCTACCTTCGCCCGAGCAGAGACGAGTCCTTATCAGCCCTGTTATCAGTGCATCGCCATCGATCCCTTGCAACTAAGCTGGCCACTTCACTTTGAAGATAAGTCGCATTAAACCGGATCTGTCGTACTGTAACGTAATTTCTTAGAAATCCCATTGGAGTAATTTTACGCCAAATGCTACAAGTGAATGATGAGAAAATATTTTTTTTTAAGCTGATTTTTTTTTTTTTTTAATCAAGCTTCAATCTCTCTGCCTGTTATATCCTCAAATTTAATTATTTGTTTTTTCAAGTTTATGTTTACATGAAATTTAAAAAGTATTCATGACTTTTTATTTCTTTTTGCGACAGTAATTAACACTGGAGTTTTCAAATTTAAACATTTGTTCATGCTTTGATTACGTCTCTTTCATTCCTCCCCCCAAAAAAAATCGTTAACTATGAAATTTAAGAAACACTTCAATTCACAACTCTTAACAGTCTTAATATCACTGTCTCAATATGGGTAAATAGCTATATTTAACATATAATGTTTAACCATTCAGTATCATTGATGTTATTAGAATGATATGTTAATTATATTTTACAGATATGTAATAGTTAATTTAATAATAGTTAATTAAGAATCACTGCCAATGACCCTTTATGATAGAGGCAAATAGAAGAAAAAAGAATTCTTACCTATAAAAATTTAAGAATATATTTCACGCTTCAACTTAATTAAAAAGGGCCTGTTTCAATTAATTATTTACAGGTAGATTCACAATGCCTACAATTTTTAAATCTATTCTGTTATATAAATATGTAGTTCCTTTATTATCAGGATAAAAAATATTTATGGAATAGTGATTTGTTTTTAATCAAGCTCCAATCTCTCTGCCTTTAATATCCTCAACCTGGTATACAGCGGTACATAGCTATATCTTATAGCGATGTGTTATGAATAAAATTCTGATGTGAGATCTGAACAACGCAACAACATTTAGCAGAAGTTAAGGTGTTTCATTCCGGAATACCATTTTTTTTTTAATATTAAAAATATTGCTATTAACAATTTTGTAATGAAATTTCACATTGGTTATTACCGGATTTTTATAAATTGATGTAAGTATATATAGCGATATACTTACATCTAAATAGATAGGTAGGTAGATAAATAAACTTTATTCTGGGACAAAGTCCCTCAAGAATTATAACATAAATAAATATAATAAGTGCACACATATTTTAGCGATTGGCGTTAGAAACATTGTTATTAACATTTGGGTACCGAAATTTCATACTGGCTGTTAACAAAATGTAATATATTGGTGTAGGTATACAGCGATACATAGGTACGTATTATAGCGATGTGTTATGAATAAAATTCAACGTTATTAGGAATTTTTATCAATAAAATATTTAAAACGGAATTCTCGATATAAATGTTTGTGACGTATTAATAAATTGCCTTCGTACAATAGATATAACTTGGCTTGAAAAAAAAACAAAACAAATAATAGCGTTGAAGATATTAAAGGCAGAGAGATTGGAGCTTGATTAAAAACAAATCACTATTCCATAAATATTTTTTATCCTGATAATAAAGGAACTACATATTTATATAACAGAATTGATTTAAAAATTATAGGTATTGTGAATCTACCTATGGCTATAAGATGGGCCATATATACCAATTTATTATATTTTACTAACAACCATTGTGAAATTTCGCTACCAAAATGTTAATAACAATGTTTCTATTATTTTTGGTTAAATAACAAAAAAAAAAGTTTATCAATGTTACTAAGGCTATTTATTAACATTTTATGTCATTAACACTTTTTGAAAAAAAATTAAAACTTTTTATTGATAACAATTTCTAATAAGATTCATTCATTACCGCCAATCGCTAAAATAGGTGTGCACGTATAATATATCATGCTATAATTCTTAGGGAACTTTGTCCCAGAATAAGGCATATGTATCTATCTATCTATTTATTTTGATGTAGGTATATCGCTATATATACTTACATCAATTTATAAAAATTCGGTAAAAAACAATGTGATAACCACAATAAAATCGGTAATAACCACCAGAAAATAGCTAAAAATAAAATACAATTCAATGTATAGTGTATTTTTTTAGGTAGAATACAGCGAGTAGGGGAGATAGTCTTCATAACATTATTACATTTATGATTTTTCAGCTATAAATTAATAATAAAAAAAATTTAAAAATATCTTTGATTTCTTAGTTTGAACTACCTAAAATAAAAACAAGTTTATCACAGTCCGACTAGTTTGCCGCGTAAAACGTGAAAAGAATATCATGTGAAAATTTGTGGGTGATTGAATCATAAAATCCTAGGGTATGTTGACATATAAATATATATATTATTATCTTTGAATATTAATGACAATTTAAATAAAATTAACATTTAGATATCAATAAAATGGCTATTTCTACATACTTATTACAGTCGTATTTTCTTAATGAGTTTTAGTGTACACATTTTATTCATTCATGTAGCTTATTTATTCTTTATTTTAATTTCCTTGTACCTCAAATAAACGATATTCTCGCCACCTCAATATTTATATTGGGAGTGGCAGATGCGATCGTCCCGAAGTCTGCGCATGTGTTGCTAAGTACAGTCGGTAAAGTTCCATTTATATTTGTTACGTAATTGTCTGCATTTCGGGCTCTATGATCTTTCATTTGAGAATAAAATTCACAGAAGACTTTTTTTTTTTTTAAGGAAACTTGTCAAGGAAAATCGCTCCCTCAGGTCGGAACTATATAAAAATGATGATAGACCATCTATGTATATCAGATCTCAGAAAAAGAATTAAAGGTCATATTCCTATTATCCAGTTTTGACTATAGGTCGAACATGAAATGTCTGACTTATGTTAAAGTAAAGGAAGGATTGAAACGTTGTCTCTTGTTTTTAAGCCGAATATTTTCCATATATAATAAACATTTGCTGATCCCATATTTCCTAACAGTGGTTGTTTATTTACCAAGTAAGCAGGCAGATTTCAATTTCATTTCAAACCTGAAAATGGAATATGTTTGAAATGATTATCGTTAAAGAGATTTTCGAAGTATCCCTTTTATTTTAGTTTATACTGGCACACAGAGAAATATATATTGATAAAGTTTTTGGTGAAGGGAGTTCTCATAAAGAACCATTGTTCGTAGATTTTTCTGATTTTTTTTTATGAGATATGAAATTAGAAAATTTACTCTGCGGGCGGCTTGCAACTTCAACCGAGGAAGATCTTAAGGAAGCTCTGGAAGATCTTGGCACAAGTCAAATGGTTGCTTTCAGACGTTTAAAATTGAATGGAATGGTGAAAAAACTTGATTAGTTAGTTAAACTAATGTCAGCATTTGGTACGTCAAGAGATTTGTTTCGGTACATGTCACAAAGTTCTAGCACATTCCCCATATTTTCATAATCTATTCCTTACAGACTACCACTTTCGGAGTTTGGACAACTTTACGAGAGGATAATTGTTTACAAATGATTCGCATATTAAAAATGCGCTTTTGGGATTTGCTCATCGTGACTTAAGCTTACAGTATCCAAGGATTGAAAACTTGGTTAGTCATTGGAAAAAGTGAATTGCAAAAAAATATTAAATAAAATATGTTTAATAATTTATTTCATATTTCTAAAAACGGTCATTTTAAGGGAATCTTCGATTCTGAAGATGAAAACCTCCCGTATCATTACAAAATATTCTACATTCGTTAGCATGGAAGTATGATATCTTGTGTAGTAACAAATACATTCGTAGCTTGACCCTCGCTTGTCTCGATCCTAATTGAATTTGATGTAACAAAAACTGGAGGAAAAACGTTCTATTCTCTTTTATAACTGTCACTAAACAAAGTTACTTTGCTTACTGCCTCGCAAAAAAGATCTGACCAAACATGGAAGAAACAAATCACTTTAATAAGCAAATATTATCTAGGAGGATGGTGAGGTAATTATACATACTGCTATAATAGTAGTATTAGTTATGTAATCTCCTGTGGGAGTAAATTAATCAACTAGCATTAGTCGGTCCTATGCAGAAGCAAAGGGCAAACAAGTGAACCTGATTTAGTTAGGTATTATCCATCACAAATATATTAGTCCAATGTACTACTACAAGGACTACCACATTATGTATTTATTTATTTTTATATTATTCATCATAAATTTAAAATATTAGCTATATTATAAAAACATTTTTATTTATATAAAAATGTAATATTCTCAAATACGTCTGTTCAATATGCAGGGTATTTCAGGGTTAAGTGACCAAACTGTAAAAATGAACTAAAGTCCCCAAAATTTGTTTACAATTTATGAAGCCCCATATTCCATAATGACTTTTTTTTTTAAACTCTGTTAAGAAAAATTACATTCTGCATCAATTAAGGAAAATCATGATATCAATATAAATAAATAGAGAAACTTAAAAAATGTTGTATAAAACATAGAAATAAGAATAAAATAACATAAAGAAAAAAATAATTTGAACTTCGAAAAATAAAATAAACATCTTAAACATAGGCATCCTATACTTGTTATTTACAAAGAAGGGAGCAACGACTATTGTTCGAAGAACTTCAAAGGATTGGATGTGTTTGATTTTAGAAAAAAAATTGCTGTTCACCACAGTTCTACACCGTAGCTCCAGTAGGATCCAGGATTTTCTTCTAGATCACTAATTTGTTTTCAATAGAAAGTTTAGATTGTTTATTGAATATTTAATACTTAACGGTTGCATTATAAAGGAAGGAGATGGTCCGGGGTTGTGGTCATAAATAGGCTAAATAGCGGTAAAACTATTTTATTGAAAGCCGACGTTTCGACCCGACTTTGTAGGTCTTCATCTGGGAGGTGTGTTCAGCTAGGAGTTTCACTTAGAACTGAACTTGAGTTCTGACAGGTATGGAGAAGGAAAGTACTAAGTTGTACCTCTTCCCTAACTTGTTCCAATTACTTAGGTTGTTTAAGGAAGAAGATCTTTCAATTTACTTCAGCATTGTCATTATTAAAAAATTATAAACTTTCTATTAAAAACAAATTAGTGATCTTGAAGACAATCATCAGTCCCTCCTTCGATGA